CTTTTCCTGAAGACTACTTAAAGAAATGATGAGAAAGCCTCTCTAAGAGAGTTCAGGCTGTATTAAAGAATAAAGGTGGTCATATTAAATATTAACTTTAAAGCTTGGTAGAATTGTACAGAATATGTTGTTGTCTTATATACTTTTATTTCCATGTATATGTTTGTAGCTGTTTCAATGAATCCCTCCACCCATTTCCCATTTTCTGAGCAAAATATAAACAAAGATGAATCGTGACTAGAAAATGTATCTAATCTGTTTGTGAGGGGTAGCCAATCAGAAGAAAGTTAGTTACAGTAGTAGGAGGCAGTTCCAAGAGCCATTATAACATAAACAAGGGTTATTTTAAACTGTGAATGATGCAAAGCTGGTAAAGCACAGAGCTGGAAATGACCCAAAGGGTTTCCTTCAAAGGGAGTTTTTTGTTTCTGGAACAGGAAATAAAGTTTGCTTATAGTGACTAACTTGATTTTAAAATAATTGTGTTTCACCTGACCCATCACTCTATATATGCTATACATAAACATCCAGACTCACGAGACACGAAGAAAAGGGTTGTATTCGAATTCTTCCATCAGTGTAGATGGCACTGTGGGTTTGTCATCATCATCTCTTGCCTGCAGAAACAGCAAACACTTTAAGAAACCTGGTATAAACATATTTAAATGTATTTAAAGATTAAGGCTTGGACTATTCTCTGTGCAGCAAAAGCCTGTAATAGATTACTTATCTGTGCAACAGACCACCATTGTTGTCCAAGATATTTAAAAAAAACAACAACAATGATCTAACTGAAATGCCTTTAACATACTGGAAATAGTCGTGGACCACCTACTGTGTAATCTGTATATATTTGAGTATCAGGAGACAGGCTAACACCAGAGAAATCTGCAAGCCTTATCCTTGTAGCAGCTTCCTGTATCATGCTCACCCTGGCCCAGCTCAGCATCTCCTTAACCTTTTCATTTTCTGGCTCCACCAGCATGGCAAACTTCAAGTTCTTTATGGTGTACTCGTGCCCACAAAACACCTTCTAAAAGACGAACAAAGCCTCATTTAAAATAGGGATTAGCTCACAGGACAGCTTCAGTATCTTTACTCATTCTGGGCTTTGTGCCATTTGACAGTTTGTTCTATGAAGGGTGAAAAGAGAGCCAGTCCTGCCCTCAATTCACTGATTGTTGTGGAGTGATGATTCACTATAGCGACTTAGACTTATCTGAGGTCATGCTAGCTGTTGTTAACCCTGTAGAGGTCGTACACACACGCATACGCAAACAGTTACTATTTCTTATTTCCACTAACCGTGTCTTGAGGTAGGGAACCAAGCACCTGGGTGAGATTGTGGTACATCTGCTCTGCTGTACCCTCAAGGAACCGTCCACATCCACCAATAAACAACGTATCCCCTAGCAACCCAAAGAAAGGACAAGGGGATGTCACAGGAGGCAGTGGTCAGTTTTTGTCATCGCACACAACATGGACAACTTATAGTATTCATATCTCTAGCCACTCAGAAATCAGTTATTAAGATTATTTGCCTGAAGACACAACAGTTGCAACATGAAGTGAGTCTTTTTTTTGCCTTTACTGTACAGTCAGAGGCGGTATGGCGAAATCTACTAGTGTCTTGGATTTCAACCGGTGCACTGATTCTTTATGTGTACAGAAAAAGACCTGTGAACACAGCAGGGGCGTCAGTGCACTCATCCTCCCAAACAAAGTAGCACATGTGACCAGAGGTATGGCAGGGAGTAAACAGGCACCTCACATTGATGGAGCTAAACTGCAGATGAAGAAAAGGACAACGAGGCAAAAAAAACAAAACAATCAGAACTCGAAAAGACAACAGGTTTGTAAAATTTTAAAAAGCAGCTAAACAGCATCTTCATCGAGCTCCTGTAGGCGCTTTGTGGACACCTTCAGTTCCTGCTCATTTGTCACTTTATCCGTCAGACCCCCGATTCGATCGTCTCCCCCGTACACCCTCAGGCCAGGGACGTCCTTCACCAGAGCCTCGTTCCCACGAGCGTGGTCCCTAGTAAGCAGAGGCACCAGATTACTCCATTAGCCTCAATTTGACTGAGATGCTTTGCAGTGTTGTTACCTGACACGAAACTCTCCTCTTACCAGTGATGGTGTGTGGTGAGAACAGCTATCAAGGAGACGCCTTCTCGTTTCACTATTTCTAGCAGCTGTGGGGGAAAAAAAATCATCCAGTCACTTTTAAAGCAAAACAGCCAAACAGTCCTCAGGTGCAGCTTCTTTGTCCTATGATTGTTTTAGCTTCAGAAAAGTGTAATAGTAGGAGAATGTAAAAGGTGCATTAAATGATGAGGAAAGCAAACATTTATTGCAGCCCTAAAATTCTTCTTCTTTTGTTGGCTCATATTTAAACGGATCCACCTTCCCTTCTTTTGCCCCTTGCAGATTCACACCTGTCGCCCTCTCATTCACACACATGTATTCTGTTTTGCTTCACTCTCACTACAAATCACAGTGTCTGCTGCAAACATGATAGTCCCCACAGAGCTCCTGCCTGACCATAATCATAGCAAACACACCTCACCACCATCTCGCTGTCCTCATACAGGTCCTGCATCACCCTACTTCTCTGTCACTCCTCACTTCCTCATACTGACTTCCAGAGTGTGTCTCTTTGCACCCTATCATGCTTTCTCTGGAGACAGTGCAATTCCTTTTGACCTCTGTATACCTCTGACCTCTCCATAAACACTCTCAAAGCAATTATGGTATCTGTAGTGCACTTTCTCTACAGCATCTATGAATATTGCTTATTGCTTTTTAAATTTTCCTTATTTTTAACAAACCAGTCTTCGATTTTTCACTGAATCAATTTTTAAACTGTTGCCTTGTTTTGTTAGATACATAGATGATCAAAAAAAAAAAGTTAAAGTCTTTTCTTAAGTATGACGCCATTTTTAAATCACAGACACAGCAATGTCTCTCACCCGGTGTGGCACAGCCGGGTCCACAGCTATCGCCTGTTTGCTCTGCTCCTCTATCACCAGGTACATGTAGTTGTCTTCCAGGATGGAGATCACCTTTACCTTCATGGTACCCGCACACGCATGCGCACCACAGTGAGCGACGCTTCAAGAAGAGGTTTGATTAGTCAACATATGAATCATTTACTTAAACGCACCTGTCTTCTGCACGAGATGTTAAATACTTCGTCAAGCATAAACAGGTAGCCGATATAAGCATGCTAGCCGGTGTAAGCTGCGCCAGCCCGTAAACTACAGTGTCATGTAGCCGAGTACTTCCTGATGATGTCACATGACTCTAAAATCTAAAAACAGTTTTTAAAATCTGCCTACCTCTCTTTAAGTGTATCCGATCAGGTCGTTTATTGCAGCTGGACAGTGCCCATCCTCTTCAAATTATTAACTCACATTTCTGTCAGACGAAGAAGTTATCGCGACATCGTGGAATCAAAGGGTCAAAACCAAGACCTTTTAATCGAGCTGGAAACAGTCAACCACCTTTAAATTTGTTACAAATATATACGTGTGTGAGAGCGCGTGTGTGTCGTAGGGGCTTATTTATCAATGTGTTTTTTCTTGATTCATGGTTCTCTGCCCCTGGAAATGTACAAGCCTTGGTTAAAAATAAAAACCAGTTAAATTATTAACATATAAAAATTCAAATAATTATTCACATTTTTACATTGTTAAAGACTATAATTATTTTATAATAGTAATTAACTATTAGTAAAGCATGAATAGGCATTTTCAGACATCATCTGACACCTTTTAGGATGGCTAATCATTATTTTGCAAAGGGTTTTTATATAGAAGCAAACATGAATGTGGTGCATTTATATAGTTCAAATTACTAAACAATGGATAAAGTATGGCTTTTTAATAGTCAATCCAGCCTCTAGGGGCATAATATCAGCCATATACAATTCAATTTCCAATTTAAAATGTTCTTCAGTAGCTGCCATCAAATCTAAATGGGAACAGGACCTTAACTCTCATTTCACAGAAGAACTGTGGGACTCTATCCTTGGCCAAGTTCACAATACATCAGTGTGTGCTCGACACACACTCATTCAATTTAAGATTGAATTTAAGGGCTAAGTTGGTGCGCATATACCCAGAGGCAGACCCAACCTGTAGAAGGTGTGGGGGGTGCCCCTGGTACATTACTTCATATGCACTGGTCCTGTCCTTCGTTGGCCAACTTTTGGACCTCTGTTTTCTATACAATGTCTGAAGTCATGCGGCATCAAATTAGACCAGAGTCACTCTGTGCTACGTTTGGTGCAGGCCAGAACTTGAAGTTGCCCAACTCCAGACACAGCGCATTAAACCTTTCATTACTGCTGGCCAGATGATCTATTTTAGTTAAGTGGAAAGACTCTTCTCCCCCCTCATATGTGCAATGGGTATAAGATATGTCCAGTATGGATTTAGAAAAAAATAGATATACAGTTTGTGGGTAAAAAAACACATTTTATAAACTATGGTTCCCTTTTCCGGACTTCTTTGAAAGGCCCACAACTATTGTTTCTGAGTAGCCCACAGATTAAGTATGGCTACATATCCATAATGTGCTTACACATTTGTTTTTTTCCCCTCAATTGCATTATTAGGACTGTGTGCACACAGTCCTAATAATATTAATGTGTCCATTATTATTATCATCAATCACCTACTAAATGAAACAAAATAATAATTATTTTTAAAAAATCCTACTGAACCTGCTTCTTAATACTTTCATCATATTTAGACATGAGAGAAGCTTAATTCCATGGTTTGCTAATAGACAAGATTTAGCAATTATAACCCAATGCATCTCCCAAAATGTAACTGGAAAATTTAGATAACACAGATGAAAGCGTTCGCCAAAGGCAAACTTCTACTACTGTAATAATCCAATAATATGAGATGTATATGAGAATAACAGTTTTAATGGCCTTATTCTGCATCAGGAATATATTTTTGCTTATGACACAATTTATTGACACAAACTTTTGTGTGAACCTACTGAAACAAATGTGCTTTATTGCTTTTTCCAAATTGCTTCATGCAATAGTCCTTGAAAGATTTTACTTTGCGAGCAAAACATGATTTGGGGTTTCTAACAATGCTGACACAACAGGTAGACAAGGCTGAGCTCACAGATCACTTTGATTACTTATATGTAAAGGCAGCTATGCTGTATTTTGCACATAAACAACCAAACTAGCATCTTTTAAGCAAGCGTGAAAATAAATGACATGAAGAAACATTGATACAAATCTTTGCAGGCGAAGAAATGATTACCTATTATTAAACCAACTCACAGAAAGTGTCCACAGACGCCAACATTTGTTACTCATGTGGTCCTCGTCTTGTTAAATGTTTAAACGCTGAGTGAAACAGTAGTTTGAACATCAATATATTAAAGCATAAGACTAAATAACTTTTCTGATACATTTACACAATAACTACATTTTTCCTCATTTTATAACATTCAAATAATGGCCATTTATTCCTTAAAACTGCCAACCCAAAAAACTTAAATATATCTAAAATAATGACTTATTTATAGATTTATAGTCTAATATGTTATGCTGAACACTGTAAAAGAAAAAAAAATGGACCTTGAGTTGAAGTCAACGCAATGGATGTGCAGTTTTTCAGTTGGTTTACAGATTAGTTGCAGGTATTTCTTTGAGTATATAATTGACAGCTTGCAGTGTTGTAATCAGTTGAAATGCCAACTCTGGTGCACAGGGCTTTCACTCCTTGGGCACTCGGAAATTATCTTTTTCCTTCCGAAGACTTCTCATGGTCTCGATAGGGTCTGTCTGCTTCACATGCTCTTGAACGGACGGCTCTCTAAATTACACATGGGGGGGGAAAACAAATGTAGTCAGGCAGCACTCTCACTGTAGGTACCTCAAAACAAATTATCATCATCTGTAATTACTACTACAGTGATGTGAAAAAGAAAAATTTCACAGGGCCCTGTACTAAGTAAGTGCACCCCAGGTTCAGTAGCTTGTACAACCAGCTCTAGCAGCAATAAGTAATAATTTCCTGTATGACTCACAGTTTCTCACATCATTGCAGACGAATTTCGACATACTCTCCTCTACATGATGTTGCTTCAGTTCATTGATGGTAAATGGCCTGCATTTGTATAGCGCTTTTTGTATAGCGCTTTTTGTATAGCGCTTTTTGTATAGCGCTTTTCTAGTCCTTAAGGACCCCAAAGCGCTTTACACTACACTACATTCAGTCATTCACACACTGGCAATGGCAAGCTACATTGTAGCCTGGGACACTGACAAGAGGCGAGGCTGCCGGACACAGGCGCCACCGGGCCTTCTGACCACCACCAGTAGGCAAACATGGGGTTAGTATCTTGCCCAAGGATATTTGGTTTGGTTTGATCCAACTTTACAAAGTTTAAGTCATGCTGCCATGTTCTTTTTAGAGAGAAGAGGCTTTCTCCTGTCAACCCTTCCAAACCAGCCATACTTGTTGAGTATTTTTCTAATTGTAATGTCACAAACTTTTACATTTAACATGCTAAATTATGCCTGTCAAGTTTAAGATGGAGCTCTCTTTTTTTCCCCACTTTCTTTGAGCATTACAGTCTGACTGTTAGATGATTGTGCCGGGACATCTACTCCTGGGAAGACTTGTATTACCTTAGTTATATTAACAGACCCCTAAATGTCAGCTTTTCTACAAGTCCACACTCGCTGATCATCAGTTAATCAAGTCCAATTCATTAGCAGCATCTGGCTACTGCTTATTCTCTAAATTCCTATAGAAGTAGTATTGCTGTACTTAGTTTTTTACAGCACTGCATTAAGTCCTGTGAAAACTCTTTTTCACATGGCTGTTTTTAATGAAGTTATACATACTTTACTCTCATAAAGGGGTTAAATGTGAATTCATCTGCCAGAGTGGACGGAATAGTTGGTTCTCCGTTGCTGCACTTCTCCTACAGACAGATAAATACACAAAAATTGCAAAGTTGTTTTAATTAATTAAGGATAACTGATTTGAAGTGGTTACTGTATGAATCACGTACCTTTGCCCAGGCCAACTTCTTCTGAATTACTTCATTGTGCGGTTCCACATGACGTGCAAATTTCAGATTGTTGACGGTGTACTCGTGACCACAATAGACATGCTTAAACACAAACACACTAAAGTTAGTCACACACCTTAAACATACAGGAAAGTTAAATTCTTTCCTTTTCCATCCTAAAAATCTGTAAAATGAACGCCTATGTTTGCAGTTACCGTTTCAGGAGGAAGGCGCCCCAGAATTTCTATCAAGGCTTTGTGCATCTGCTCTGCTGTACCCTCAAAAAATTTCCCACAGCCAGCCACAAACAGAGTATCCCCTGCATGGGAAAAACAGGAGTTCTTAGGGCCTTTAAGTTCACACAAAACATGTCTTTATTTACACTCGCAGTTTATCTCATATAAATGTTTAACTTAAGTAACCACACCTGTAAAGACAGCTGGTGGTTCAGTGCTGTTTTCTTTGGTCACGTAGTAACAAATGTGACCAGTCGTGTGACAAGGAGTAGAAAGGCATTTAACATGGAGTGAGCCAACCTGAGGAGAGAAAAACATAAGTGAGCAATCGTTCATTTGAAGCTTAAAGTTGTACCACAGAGCAGAGAGTTTGCTCGTCTCACTTTGAAAGTGTTGGAATGAGAAACTTTCTTTGTAATGGCATCAACTCTGTCATCCCCTCCATAGACCTTCAGACCTGGCATTAGTTTCAACATCTTCTCATTTCCACCGGCATGATCCCTAAAACAGAAAATTAGTGTGTTGGTATTACTCTTTTGTCCAATACAGGTTTAGCGGGTTCTTAGCATAAGAAGCCAAAGCAAACGTTTATCTATAAAGTGTGCATTTAATGGGCAGTAGCATTTAATACCAGTAAATGGTATTCACAGCAAAACAATCAAGACAATTTGCCGATTTCTGGGAAACATAATGACAGGAAATAGGCGGGGTGATGATGTCTTAAGTAGTAGGAGCATCTTCTGACTTCAGCATCTGATGTTTTGGGATCATGTTTGCACAGCAACACCTTTTAGGCCATCATTCCTTCTCTTGCAGGCTATTTGCACCATTACTATAGTAATGCTAGTATAATGATGCAGGTAGTTTGTGGTCTGTGTTGTCAGTCAGCATCAAGCTAAACACAATCTCTGCCACAAGCTTTTCCTAGAAGCACTTTGTTAGACTGGAGAATGCTGCTGCTAAATGCAGCATGTGACCAGGTAGTAAGATGTACATCAGCATGAGAAAATTAAAAGAAAGCAAATCAAAGCAAACAAAATCACTTGACTCCTACTGCAGCCCTGCGTGAGAAACTGGTGGAGAAATATATAAGCAAACCTTGTCCTAAAAAAGACTTTACAAATTTTGAGTGAGTACAGTACAGTACAGTACAGTAGGTAGGTTACTTTGCAGTCACAGCCTTCCATGATCAGAGTGGACCTAATACTTTGTTCACACAGCACGCTGGATGTGAACGTGGTTATATTAATGGTAATGGTGATGAATATAAAATGGATCTTTTGCCTTAACAGGTACAATAAGTAATTTTTTAGCTTTCTTATTATGGAAAAATAATCTTGAAAAAAAAAA